ATTGAATGAAATTCAAATTTTAGTTTTTTTTTTTATTTTTTCATTGATTATTTTAAGTTTTTGCTGAGTTATTTTTTACTATAGTAAAGCAAATGCACAAATATAACATTTTAAATTGAATATATCCAGTGTTAATTACGTAAAATAATTATTATGACCTAGAGAGCGGGAGCTGGGCACACTTGGTTGTTCAGTTTTGAGGCTACTGATGGGTGTATTTACTGGACACTGCCTATCGATGGTCCATCCGAAGCGGGACGGAGAGTGAGATCTGCCTTCTCTGCCTAAAAGAAAACGAAACGTTAGAGCAAATATTGAGTGAAAACCAAGGGATTGCTCACCTTTGACTGGGATGCATGAGATAACTGCAATACTGGCCCTATGTCGATTTGAGTGGAGTCTAATAATCTCGGTCCCCTACGGAGAAAAAAAAATTATGTAAATTACTTATTATACTATTTTGAAAAAGGCCAATTAATAATATATAATGAATAAATTAAATTAAATTGAATTATTAGATTTATTTTTAAAACAAATTTCATAATTTCATAATATTCATAGTAATACCCGTGGGTATTTCTCATCTCTCTCTCTCTCTCTCTCTCTGGAATATGAGTAAAATTTCTAATTTAATGCAAAAATACATTATATTTGTGCATATTACAAAATAATATACTAAATTAATCTCTTGTAAATTCAAAATTACGACTACGAATATATAAAGTATAGTTTTTAAATAAATAATATTTTAATTTTATAATTTATTAATAATTTGTAAACTTGTTTAAATTTTTTTTTTTTTAAAAAACATACCTCAAAATTTTATTAACATTAAAAATCTATAAGAAAACTGAAACATGTATATATTTTTCATATTTTTGCATTATTTATTTTACATGACAAAAAAAATAAAATAATGTAAAAATATTCAAATTAACCTCATATATAGATCACACACTTAACCTCAAACCTTCATAATCACTACCTCAATTTAAAAAAAAATAACAATTGAAATTAACAAATTAAAAAATAAATAATTTAAAGCAAATATTTTATATTTCAAAATCATAAATATTTCATATTAAAAACAAATATATGTATATTGTAGAATAAGGTAAAAATAGCAAAAAAAAAAAAATAAAAAAAAAATCCTAAATATACAAAAACAAAATATAAATATTTCTATAAATTCTTAGTGTATGAACATATATGTACATATATAACATTATAAATTTTTTTTATTTGAATTAAAAATACATTTATAAAGTTATTTATATACAAAATTATTATCACCCCTATCTGAAATTTCATCGCAGATGGTTACCCAAGTCTTCTATTAAATTAAATCTTAAAAAATAAATTTATTTAAAACTACAACTTATTTATAAATTTTTCCTTACTAACATAAATTACAATATAAAAATTATAATAAATACAATAAAGCATTAGCTAACAACACTATCAGCTGATTTAATATTAAGTTTTAAGAACAATTTCGTTAAGCTCACATTTTTGGTTAATTGTGGATTATACATTGCAGAAAAAAAAAGAATTTTAAAAATTTTCGATATTTCTTTTACACAATTTTGACAAATATATTTATAATAAATATATTTATAAAATTATTTAACAAGTATGAGTTAGTACGAAAATTCCAAAATAAATTTCATAAATTCTAATTCTATTATCTCCATAATTTTCTAACTTATTTAATATAAACTATAACTCATTTATTATAATTCTTCATAATTTTTCCGATAAAATTTCTGATAAGGGTTTATAATTATATTTATTAACAAAAATATAAAACTGAGAAGAATAATATAAAATATATATAATAAAAACAAGTATAACAAACAAGTTGAAAGGCAAAATTTAAATTTTAAAGAAATATTAGACTGAAAACAGAAATAGAAATGTTTTTAGACAAAACAAAAATCATATATAATTATTTAAAATAAAAAAAGAAAACAATATAATTATAATTAACCATAAAATACAATCTTAGATATTATTTAAAAATTAAATAATAAAAAAAATTTCAAATAATTCTTGAAAAGTATGGGTTTTATAAGCGGCTGTGTGTTGTCTCGGATTGTAAGATAGATTGTAATTCGAAAATAAAAATGATATAAGAATAATATAATATTTGAAAAACAAGTTAATTTATGTAAGAAATTGTTAAGACTTCTCAAAAAAAAGTAATTAATTTAAAAAATTGTTAATAATATATAATTATATTATATAAAATACAGTTTATCCGTCTATATATATTATTAAAAACTACATACGAAAGGAAAAAAAAAACAAGGAAAACAATTATTTGTTTTTGTTTTTTTTTTCTTAAGACTCTTATATATAAATTCATAAAATATCTATTTATTTAATTATAAATAAAAAAAAAATATTATATTAAATTAATTATATCGCAAGATTTAAAAAATTTATTTAGCTAAATTTGTATTAAAATACATTCTATATAATATTATGTATTATAATGTATAATTAAGAATTAAACTAGTATGAATTTTTAAAAATTAAATATATATATGTATACATTATATTATAAAAATAATTTATTTCAATAAAATAAATTAAAAGTAATACATTTTTTAGTTGAAGTAATAAAATAATTAAAAGCATATTTAATATGCATATAATTATTAATATTTTAAAGTTTTAATAAAATTAAAACTATTCAATAAAAACAATATATATATATATATATATATATATAATATTATATAAATATTATATTAAATATAACAATTAATTTATAAATGATAAATGTAACAAATACAAAACTATTTATTATTTAAAAAAACTTAAAAATTAAAACCGAATTAGAAAAATTAAAAAGAAATAAAAACCATTATATAGAAAACTTAATTTTAAATAATAAAAAATAAAAAAAACAAATATAATTTATAAAATTTAAAAATTAAATTAATATAATATATAAATATTAGAATATTTTTTAAAATACAATATAATAATAGAATGTGAAATAAGTAATATATAAGAAAACAAAACAATGAATTCGACGGATTTTAGTGAGTAATTTAAAATGTAATTAGATATGAAAGAAAATTTAAGTTTTAAAAACAAGTAAAACAAAATATACTTTTTAAAGGATATAGCAAAACAAAAAAAAATTATTTAAATAAATAATTTACTTAAATCTAAAATCTAATTAAAAATCTATTTAAAATTTCAAATTTAGCGCCTATTTAAAAGTAAAATAATTTAAAATTAAAAAAAATGTCAGAGATTTTTTGATAAATGCAACGAAATTTAATAAATTCTAATTTTTATCATTACATGCACATATAACTTACAATAAGGAACAAGGACTGGCTAATATTACTTAACATCCTAGTAACAATCATTTGTCAAAATTAATTTATTTTTTTGAAAATTATAATAAAATTATTTTATATTTAATTTTAAATTATTAAAAAATTATACATAGTTTTCTCTAATATTATTATAACATAGAATTTACATATAATATATTTTGTATTGGAATTTTCCTACCATTAAAAAAAATTATTGGTTAGGTATCCTCCAAAATACAAATCTAATGACAAATTGACTTAGTAAGTAATTAAAACCGTATTTATTGATTTAGTCAAGTTGATCTTAGATCTGCATTTTGGTAGACACCCTATATTTAATTAACAATTTATTGTTATACCTAATTTGATGTAAAATAAAAATATTTTAATTTTATTAAAAAATTTAAAAAAATACTTTATTTTAAAATTTCCAATAAAATTTTAAAAATTTTTGTAATTTGCTATATCCTTGCTAATATACTCAACGAACATTTTATATACATATATTAAATGTGTAAAAGGTAAAAATAAACATTAATAAAATTTTAAATTATTTCATATTTCATAGAATTCATAATTATTATTGAAAATACTTATTTATACAAAAAAAAAAAATTGTATGGTCAAAAAAAAAATTACATTAATAACAATCTAATAAAAAACATCGTAATTTAGAAAGAATTTTGTGACAAAAAAAGAAAAAAAATAAAAAAAAAATTATTTCTAAAAATATTTTTAGATGTAAAATATCTTAAGAATATTAAGGATATAGATACAACTATGTCGTTTTTACAATTAAATTGTATAAAATACAAATAAAAAAAGGAATGAAAAAAAAAACCTTAAAAAAATAACGAAATTTTTAACAAATAAAATCAGAGAGAAAAAAAAATAATTACTATAAATCATATTTGTTTTAATCTTTCAAAGATGCATTTAATTTGATGTTATGCGAAAATCTGTTGTAAGTATACTTGATGTGCATTATTTTCAGAAAAGAAAACGGCTCTTGTTGTTTCTGAACTTTCTTTTTCATGTGTAAATTTCCTGACCGCCTCTGCCTAATATTTTTGTTTGCAGCATTTGCTCTCACTGTTTGTGTAATTTTCTTAATTCTCTCCTAAAAATATTAATTTAATTAAATTATGCAGATTAATGAAATAATGGGATTTATAAAATATTATTAAAGTATAATCCATAAAGTAAGTATGTATATTTCATATCAAAATATTTATCAAGTTATTTTAAAAATGAATATCTTTGGGATAATATACAAAATGCAACGTCCCAAGAGACCACTGAAATAAATTTTAAAAAAGGTTTCCAATTATCATCAAAATGTTCAAGATCAAAAGTAATCATTCTATTTTATTGTTTTCAAAACCAGGAAATGTGTTAAATTGTGTTATGAATGACGTAATCAAAATAATTTAGTAAAAGCACCCATTAAGATGCTCTTGTTTAAAAATTAATTAAAATGCAAACTATAAATATATGCATGAATCTACAACTTCAAATCTAATAGAAAAAAATTACAACCCGAATAAGTAAATAAATAAACTACTTGCATTTTATTATAAAATTTTCACTTGAAAAACTAGATATAGATAAGATAAAAAAAAAAATTGTTTTCTTTTTTTTTGCGAATTATTCGAATACTAATGGTATAAATATATGCAACAATATATTTAAAAATGAGAATCGGAAGATTATTTTATTAAAATATTACAGAACATACCGGCAGCTCATTTCAAAAATATTAGTTGAATCAAAAATGTTTTTACATTATTTTGTAAGATAAACTTGTTACATATACAAAATGGCAATAATATTTTATAGTTTTTTTATTTTTTCCATAGATTTTATTATTTGCGGTATGCAAATTAATTCAGTTTTTAGCCTTTGTAACGTGTGCGGACCAGGCACTCAAATTGCTTGTATAAATCAAACAGCCTTTCGCAGATGTTCCGGATGTATGTAAATCTATGTTAACTGTTTGAAAATGAAGTTTCTAAAATTGTTTATTTAAAATTTTAAAATTTTTGTTTTAAATCTTAATTCATTTTTATAGCGGCAATAATTCCTGGCAGTATTGCTGTTTGCCCATCTGGTACATTTTGTAATTCAGGTAAATAAAATTCTGCAATTATTAAAATTAAAATTTAATTAGAAAATTAAATTAAAACTAAATTATTATTTTAAAATAATGAAGATGAACCTATGAGATGTGTTAAAACCGAACCATCATGTGGTGGTCTATGTGGGTAAGTAATATAATTTCATTCTTTAAATTTGTAATGTATAAATTTTATTTTTTTGTTTTTGCTTAATTTTTCATAGAGTTTGTAATTTAAACACTTATGTTGCTTGCTTAAGTAAAACCAAATATGCTTATTGTTTTGGTGAAACAGTTTCTGATCAAACAGGAGAATGTAGTGAAGAGGAATATTGCAATTCTGGATATCCTGGAATATGTATTAATTCAGCTGGTCCAATCGTTGCGGTAAACATTTGCTATTATAATCAAGTTGATAAATTGTTTTAAAATTGTTATATTTAAAGGAACCATCATGTCCAGTAACATCCGTACCGCCGACAACAATTGAACCATCAACATCAACTGAAAGTTCAACAGTTACCGAACCGTCAACTTCAAGTAGCTCTACTTTATCAACTTCGATATCTACTGAACCGTCAACTTCTAGTAGCACTACATCATCAACTTCGATATCTACTGAATCGTCAACTTCTAGTAGCACTACATCAACAACTTCAATATCAACCGAATCATCAACATCAACATCCACTACCACATTAAGGCCACCGTACCCTATTACAGATGCTCAACTGTATTGCATCACAATTGGAAAACCGGGAAAGTTTCCTAAAATAAATGATGTTACCTGCAAAAAGTATAAAAAAATAATATTAAATAATGTGTTGTCAGATCTATTAAGATCTTCTTTAATTTTATTTTAGATATTATTATTGTTACAATTTGGGTTTTAATATTAATGGACAAGAGTATACTTGTGTTGGAGCTTCATATTATAATTGTCAAACTCAAATGTGCAGTTCTACATGTGATACTAGCTGTTCCGTATTACAAATTATCACAAATTATAATCACACTAAAATAAATACAGTTCCTTAAACAACATTTGTAAAACAAATATTAAATATTTTTCTTATCAAAAGCAGCCAGTCTATATTGGTTAAAAATTTATATTATCCACAAAGATTTAAAAAAACATTGTATTGAATAATAAATAAAAATTTTCGAACATTATTAGATCTATGTTAGTTTTATTAGAGCTGAGATTAGAGATCTTTTAACCGACCGACTCTCACTTATCTAGATTTGAAGTATGCAAAATTTAATTTTAGTAATTCTAGCTCAAGTAATTCCACTTGCAGAGAGCTCTTCAATTAAAAAATTAATTAATTCGCGGTCGAAAACTTAACAAAGGCAATTTTATAAATATTTCAAGAGTAAATACAATGCTCTAAAATATTGCGGCCGAGTTAGTTGTTCTAACGTAATAATATGGAGGGCCGGACTTATTTGACACCCTTAGTAATATCCGAAAAGTTCGCTGCCCGTCCCTCCCCCTCTCCTTTCAATCAATGAGCAATATGCAATAAACGTTGCACATAGCGCATGATAACTCATTTTCTTCAAGTTTCTAATGGTGGCCTTTTTTTCCGGGGAAATGGCGCTGGTAATAAACCAAAAAAAACATATGTTCTATTGTTTTAGTATTATGAGAAGAGGATATACTGCTTAAGTGGTTGCATCATATGTCTAATGAATTTTCTTTAAACCATACGAATTCGCCAAGAAATTTGGCGAATGTGGTAGTTTGGTGCTATATACGGCGAATTCACCCGTTTTTTTTTTCTCGAATTCGCAAAGACATCTAGAAATAGTTTACTTTAAAATATCGTTAAGTAATACTACAGAATTTTGCTTTTGGGCAAAAGAAATTTTCGATTAATTCCATTCGACATGTGGGCGAATTCACTATACATATTAAGTCTAAAGGTTTCGCACCTTAATTTTTCAAAGTTCTCGTTCATTATTGGATTTAAGGCTGATAATACAAATATTGTTCAAATCGTATTCGAATTTCTCTCATAACATTGAAGTTTTAGCACTTAATAAGTACAATAACCAAATAAATAACTTTGTATCTTTTTTTTATATTTTCGTATGTTATATAAAAAAAACCTACAAGAAGGTGGCTAATTTATTTACATTATTTAAAATTAGGTTCAATCTGCGAAATCACATAATCTGATTCTGGTTTGTAATCAATTCTAAATAAATAATATCTTTTTATATGGAAAATTGCAATTTAAATATGTGTTTGGTTTACGTAATTAATTTTTAGATAAGATAAAAGAATTGTTTTCTTTATTCTTTTCTAATAAAAAATCTGTATAAAGAATTTTTACTCTTAAGTGATACAATTAGTTCAGCGAAGATGGTGTTAATGATTTTTTTTGTAAGAAAAATTTTTTATTTTCTAATACCTATTGCAATATTCTACGCATCAATTTCTTTTAGGTTCTATTTATAGGATTCATTAGAATTAATCCAATTTCCGGTGCTTGTAATGTTTGTGGGACTACCTCACAAATTGCTTGCTTAAATCAAACTTCATTTCAACGATGCACTGGAAGTGAGTATTTTCAAATTGAACCGAGAAATTTCTCTTTATATGAACTTATATTAACGCATATTTAAGGCACAATTGTTCCGGGAACTACGGTTACTTGTCCCTCTGGAACATATTGTAACTCAGGTAAATTATAAACTAAAAAAAACATTTAAAAATATAAAGATTGTTTTCAAATCAAATATATGCAGATTCACCGATGAGATGTGTATCAACTGATCCATCATGTGGCGGTCTTTGTGGGTAATTTCATTTATAATTCCATTTCTTTATAAACTTTTGGTAAATCCATTTTAAAAACATTTCAGTGTTTGTAATCCAAATACATTTGTTGCTTGTTTATCAAAAACACAATATGCATATTGTTTTGGTTCGACACCATCAAATCAAGTGGGAAATTGTGGAACCGGAGAAATTTGCAATTCTGACAGTCCTGCAATATGTTTTAATCAAAATATTATCGCGGTGGTAATTTAATATTTACATTAGCTTTCTTCGTTCGTAATCATTTCGCGAATTCTAATTATTGAATTCTAATTTCTACTTTATAAAGGAACCAACTTGTCCAGATAATGGAACACCAACAACGACACCAACAACGCAAAGACCTATTGATAGTGCACAAGCATTTTGTTCATCAATTAAAAGAGCTGGAAGATATTCAAAACCAAATGATTTCAATTGCAAAAAGTATAAAAATATTTTTAAGTCAATTTCATTAAAGGAATACAAACAAGTTATTATTTTTTTGCAGCTACTACTACTGTTGGTATGTGGGTAATGTAATTTATGGACAAGAATATCAATGTCTTGGACAAACATTTTTTAATTGTCAAACTTTAACGTGCAATTTCTTTTGTATTAATAATTGTACTGTACCGAGAACAATTGAAAATCAAGCAATAAATGTTACAACTCGTGTATGAAAACATTTTAATTAAAGAATTAAAGAAAACTTACAAAGATTTTTATTAATATGTATTAGTATGTTTATGTAAATTTATTGAATATTGTTGATTTTGTTTTGAAATACTGATCTTAAGCTATTACTTCTAATACCTTCTAATACCTTCTACTTAATTCGCTATACTCATAAATTCACTTGTTAATGAAAATAATCCAGTTCGAAAATTGCACATTGTACGCACTGAAAATATAGATTGTTTCGAAATTACTCTCTGTAATGAAGTGCGTTTCGGAAATTAATTCTGCAAAGAGATGCGAGAGAAAAAGAGTGGATTTTTTTTTTAAATTTAAAAATTTTGATTAATTTTCATAACAATGTCATTTATGTCATTTTCAAATGACTCATTATTTAGAAGTTTGAGAGTTTGTTAACTGCGCAAACATAAAAAACTTGGGTGAAAGGTGAAATTTTTGCATACTGTTTAACGTCGCAGCTTAGAAATTTAAGCTCTAAGATGTAGAATTTTCAGCACAGCTTGCATAAACGACAAGCCTCTAGTTCTAGCTTAGTACTACAAATATTTACGATTTGCTAGCAAAAACAGGTACTGATCAAGTAGCCGAAAGAGTGTTCTTTTTGGTTTCATGTTATTTAAGTTGGAGCTTACTGGTAGAGCAATTCAAACACCAATTGAAATTATAATTTCAACTGTATTTTTGCCGGATATGCTGACAGATAAAAAAAAGGACTACTAATTTAAATAGTTATCAGCTTAAAGAATTTTTGTCCGAATTAGAACTGTGAACTAGGGCCATACTATGTAATTCTATTTTCGTGAAACGATTTTCGTATTCGAAAAATTTGTATGGTACTACCTTTCTTTTTCTTTGCAAATGCGAAAAACCGCAAATTCTTTAACGTCAAAATTTTGTTTTCAGTCTGCAAACTGTCTGACGTATAAAACTTTTACGGACAGAAATGTAGTAAACTTTTTGCCCGTAATTGACTTTGAATTTTAATCATACGTAAACGTCAAAACAAAAAAAAAAATTTTTTTTAGTTTTAAAATAATTTTATACTTACATATTAAAAATTAACAAAAAAAATATTTTTTATATTATTTTTAACGTATTGATAGTCACTCAATACATCAAATTTATTTACTGAATTACTACGTCAGACTGTCTGCATGTAAAAAAAAACAAAATCTACAATTTTGACGCTTAATTGACTTTTTTTAAACGTTTAAGAATTTAAACTTTGACTGAAAGTAAAAACGCAGTAGAGTATTCGTAAACTCAGACAACTAAGATTTTGTAAAATTTGACGTTTAAGAATTTACCAAAACATTTATTGAACAAATTGAATTACATAACTAGGGCCCTGATAATTTAGTTTTGAAATTTGAAAAAATTTTCAATTCAATTATGAATTTAAAATGCAATTTTATGGGGCAATTATATATTACAATTAAATATTAATTACTTACCATATATAACATTTAATTAAAATATATTATTACCTTTAATATTATTGTTTATTTTATTTTAAGTGATGAACATGATTATTAAAATTGAAATTTTCTATAAATGCAATTAAATAAGAATATAAACACAAAAACTCTTTCTTTTAAATTCTAAATTATTTTTATTCTTCATCTATATATATATCATCTATAATCTAAAAAATATTTCCTTTAATAACTTAAATTATATATAATATATAATTAATTTCATTCTACATAATAATAATAATTTGTTGAATTTTGTTTTCTTTTTTTTCTTTATTTAATATATAATTTGTATAATAATAAGTTTATTTACTTTTTTTTTTTATTTTTTTTTTTGTTTTTCAATTTTATAAATATTGATAATCTGTTAATAATATATAATTTGTGTGTGTGTTTTTTGTTGTCTGTTATTTTTTTTTTTTAATTCTGGGCTTTAATAATTAATCAAATACTTTAAACTTATAAATTACTTTTTTAAAAATTACTTAATATTTTTTTTGTATTTTAAATTTTTATATATATTTATATATGTATATTATTTGTATATATATATTTATTTATATTTACTTTCAAATTTCAATAATTTAACTATACACAGATTGATTATTTTTAAATTAATAATACAAACAGAAATATTTTGAATTTTTTTTTTTAAATTCTTAAATTAAACTTTTTTTTTAAGTTTATAATTTTTTTTTCATTTATTATCTTAATTTATTTATTAATTAATTTATATAATCTTAATTAAAGTTACATACTTAAAATATAGCATTTAAAAAAAACTGATAAGAGGACAAATTTAAAAGTTAAAAATTAAATTTTTTATTGTTTAAAATTTTTTATATTTTGAGATTTTTTTGTTTTCTTTTTTTTTAATTTTATTTTATTATAATTTTTTTTTTGTATGATGAATTTATAATTGCTTTGTAAAAGCTTGAAAAATTTTTTAACAAAATAATAATTGAAAAAGTTTTTTTGGAATAAGTTAAAGTTCGATACTGAGGACACAAAACAGAATGCAAACATTCTAAAATTAGTGGAGTAAGAATTAAAATTAAATTTTAAAAGACAAATATTTTTAAGTATGTGCTTAAATATGAACAATTTCAACAATTGAAGTACTATTGAAACGAAAAATTTTAATCCGCAAATAAAATATTTAGAAATATTCAAGTTCATAAGTTTCGGGTTTGTAATTAAAAATCAATTCAATAAAAGCGTAATTTTATTATAAATTATTGGAATTCCTTTATAACTATTGTTTAAATCGAATATTGTAAAATAATAATAAATAAAATAATATGGCATAATGATGTTAATTGATTTTCAAATTTTGCAAGGATTAATTAGTATTAAAAATGTTAAAAAAATTTGATGTCGTGAAAACTGGAACGAATTATTATTTATTAAATATTAAATGTATAGAAAATTTATTAATTGTTAGTAGTAAGGCACTTATACCGACCGATACTAAAAATTTGACAATGTTGCTTTTACTTACATTTCACCAAAACAAGAACAAGAAAAAAAAAATTGTTTTCAAAATTCAATTAAATAAGATTTTGGCTACTTATTATTACAATTAATTTTATTTATTTTTAATTAAAATATTTCATTTAATTTAATATTCTGTTTCATACAATTAATTTGAATATATTTATGTATTTGTATAAGATATTTTTGAAAATGATTTTGAAGTTAATATGACTATAAAGTAGTTCATACGAATTTTACATAAAGAATTTATTACAAATTTTCGAGTAATTTAATTAAAAAAACATTTGTAGGAATAAGCTTTAATTTGTTTTTCACAATTTGGAATAAATTTAAACATTCAATAAACAAATCGACATCAATATTTGCAACTTTCTTATACTAATTTACCAGAATTTACACAGAATTTTTGGTATTCACGAATGTAACATTTTATTTTTAATAAATTATATCATTAATATCTAAATCAAATACATTTGAAATTTATAATATTAAATGTATAATTAATTATGTACATTATTTAAAATAAAAATTTTAAAATATTTGCAATCAGGAATTTTTAAATGAAAAAACATAATTTCAATTGTAACTTTAAACGCTTTCACAATATTTTAAGAGAAATTCGCAATATTTAGCAAATCTAAAAAAAAAAATACTAAAGGCTATACATAAAATACAAAATATTTAGAACCCATTCCGGCTCGAAATTATTTATTTTGATATTTACTTCTAAGTAAGAAAATTTCTAATTTTACAAATCAATATAAATTCACCAAATTTTTTTTTTTTTTAATTTGAAATTCTTCACTATATTTTTGATTTAATAATTAAAATAAAAATTAAAATAAAAAATCATTGTTTTTCCCTATTTTTAATAGCTACATATAATATATTTAAATTTTTTTTTTGTTTTTTTTTTTTTTTTTAATTAATTAAAATTATCAAAATAATTTAACGAAAAAAAAATGAATAAATTATTATAAAAAAAAAAAAATTATTTTTGTTTTTGTCAAGAGAATTTCATAATATTTATTTTTTTAAGATTTTTGTGACTGTCACTAATGTCACTTAATTTTATTTATTTTAATTTATGTCGCCTGTTTTGTTTTATTTTTTTTTTTTATTTTTTCTATTAATTATTTTTTAATTGCAATTTAATTTTATATTTTACATTTTATTTATATTTATGTATATATATATATATATAAATTTTCATTATTGTATATAATTATATACAGGTATAAATTTAAAAAAAAAAAAAAAAACATTTTTGTCTGATTAAATATTTATTCCCCGTCTTCTCCGTTTGTTTCTTGTTTGTTTTTTAAGTTTATAACTTCTGCTGCATGTATATTTTTTTTTGTTTGTTTATTTTTTTTTTTTTTTTGTTGTGTTTGGTCTTGCCGTGTTTACTTGCCTTTTTTGTTTTTGTTAATTTGAACCATTTAATTTTTTTTTTACGTTTTGTGATTTTTACGTTTTGATTTGATGATAAATTTCTTTTAAATAAAATTATTTTATTAAATAAATTTTTCTTTTAACTTTAATCTCTTTTGAAGTTTCTGAAAATATATTTTTAAAATACAAATATTTTGTTTTTATAAATTTAAATTATATTTTGAAAATTTGATAAAATTTTATGTTTTTTTCTTTGAATTTTTAATTTTGTAGTGCGTTTTTATATTTAGGAAATAAATTTCCTTTGTTTTATATTTTTTTTTATATTTTTAAGTCACAATTAATAACATAAAAAAAATTTTTGGTGAATTAAATAAAAACAAAAAAAAAAAGAATTGAAAAGTATAAAAAAAAATTTATTTAATTTTGTTCGTTTAAAAAAATATATAATTACTGGTATTAATAAAACTAAACAAATTGTTGTTAGCTACAAAAAAAATTTTTATAATTTGAAAACATAAAAAATATTTTGTGAAAATATTTAATTTTAGATTTTTATATTTAAATTTATATATTTTGTTTGTTGGTTTTCTCTTCTCTTAAAAGAAATTGACGATATGACAAGGATAAATTGGAAACATATTTTTTTTTTAATAATTTCTTTATTTATTTTTAAAAAAAGTATTCTTTTAATTATATTTAATTTATACAAGTTTTTCAGCTGGTTGTTCGGCCCTCGTCCGTTTCAATAATCAAAGATAAAAACAAAAAATAAATTAAAAATGTTATTGTTTTTTAATTTTTTTTTCACATAGCAAAAGTTTGTTTTGTATTTTGCAAATTTTTAAAGAAAAATAAAAATTTGGTAAATGTTTTTTATTTTATTTCATTTTGTCATTTTAAAATTAAATTTGTGCGTTTTTTTCTTCACATTTGAAAATAAAAAAAAAAAAAATTATGGACAGTGTGATTTTTTTCGATTTATTTTTAACTTCTTTTATAATTTTATTTATATTTTATTTTTCTTATTTTTTTCTTTAATGTTTTTGATTCATTGTGTCTTAATTAATTTATTAATAATAAATTAAATGTTGACAAATAAGTTTTTATTTGATTGATTTTAATAAAAAAAGTTTTTATTTTTTTTTTAATTATTTTTAAATTAAGTAAATGAAAAAAAAATCTCTTTTTTATTCATCTGTTATATTATTTTATGTATGAAGGCAGCGATAATTTCATTTTTAAATAAGAATTTTCATAATATTTTAAAATAAATAATTTTTATAGTTTTATTGTATGATAATATTAACTATTATTATTATTTTAATTTTTGCTTAACTAAAAATTAATAACAATTTTGTTTTTTGTTTATTTTACTTGGTTACTTTTTTTTTTTTTAAAGAATTTCCAAACTTTTTTCTTATATATAGAAGCTTTCAATTATTATATAATAATATTTGTATAAATAAATTCAACTATTTTGTATTTTTCTGTATATAATTTTATAAAGTTGGAAACCTGTAAAAAAATATATATAATATAATAAAAAATAAAATTAAAAAACGAAAAAAAATTTTTTTTATTATTTTATCAAATTTGTTTTATGCTGCATTTTAGAATTCACGTAAAAAAAGAAAAAATAATTTTTAATCTGATTTTTTAAATTAAATTTCGTATATAGAAAAATAGCAATAATAAATGTATGTTAAATTAAACACGTTAAACAATATTTTATAATGTGTTTAGTTCCAATATTGGAATTTTGAGAATTAAAAAATTTTAATTTTAAAATTAAAATTGTAAACCTTGTTTTAAATTGAGATTTCAATTAATAATTATTAAAAATAAAATAATAATTAAAGATATGATAATCTAAATGGGTTCTTTTTTTATATGAAAATAAAATAAAATAAACCTTTTTAAAAATATAAATTTTAATTTTTAAATCGTTTCAATAACAAATTTTTGAATTATTTTGGAAGGTTTTTGAATTACAAAAATCTGCTAATTAAATATTTTGAAATTTATATTTTAAATTTAAAATTTAATTTTAAATTTGGTAACATATTTAAAAATACAAGTTTATTTCAGATTAACAATTCTTCGTCTATAAATAATTTATACATAAAATAATACATAATATAAAATATTCAAAAAATTTATAATTAATCTTTATAAAACACAATTTAAAAATTTCATCTAAAATAATAACAATATTGGGAATTCTAAACAGCAGTTTTTCACCAAATTATAATTATTTTTCGTATAAAATTAGCTTAAACAATAACAATCAAAAAAAAAGAACAAAAAACGAATAAAAAATTAGTTAAGCAATGCATGAATGTGAAAATTGTCATGTTTCTTTTTTTTTTTGTATTTAATCATAAATTATATTTTATATATTACGCGTTTATAAACTATTGTTGGTAAAAAAAAATGAATAATTTAATTTTTTTTTAACATTACAAAAAAGTATATTTTGTATATATAATTTATTGTAAATGTTTCCAAAAGAAAAATTTGCAAAAACAAAAAAAAAAATTAATGAAACAAAATAATAAGAAAATTTTTATTACATATGCCATTTACATATCTATAATTACTAAATTGTATTAAAATAAAATTAAAATATCATTCATTTAAATATGAAAATTAAAATAAATTCTTAATAAAAAAAATTAAATATAGTGTGTACACTGCCAATCAATAGTCTATTATGAATTCGGAGCAATTTCTTTTTTTCTTTTTCGGATGCATTTGGAATTTATAAAATTACTTTACCAAAAGATTTTTAGTAGTTTTCATATTTTATTAAATTCAGATGATTTCGTCTTGAAATATACAAAAGTATCTAAAAATAAATATCTTACAAGTAATTATTAAGCAATTTTTAAAATATAATATTATTGATTAATTAAAAAATTTATTATACGTTTGTACTTTTGCACAAAAGTTTTTATTTTAAATTTGTCTTAAAAAAAAAGATTAAAAAATATTAAATTATATAATCTTGGTAAAATAATTTTAAAAATTGTTTTATTATTATTATTATTGGATTGAAATGTTTTATTTGTTTTTAATTAATGCTTACAAAAAAATTAAAATTTAATATAAAAAAAAAAACAATACTATGGAAATTAATAAATATTTCATATGAATTAAAAAATATGAAAGATATTACAAAAATATATATATGTAAAAAAAAAAAAGATAAGTTATAGGAAAAAATAAAAAGAAAAACAAAAAAATCATACTAACTCTTCAACTTATACGCATTTTATTATATATATTATATATATTGCAATGAGGGATAAAAGGTTCCATTATTTTTAAAAATTTCAATTCCTTTATTTTGATTCAGTTTATCTGGGCCGTTGTCTTTAAATAGAATAGAGAAACATTTGGATATTTTTTTTTTTTTATGATGCAATAACAAATTAAAAATTGTAATTGAATTTAATTAAATAAATATAAAAAATAATATGAATTTAACAATGATTAATCATAAATTTACTTCATATGTTTTAAATTTTTCTTCGCAATGTTATTTGAATGATTGGCCAGGCCATTTACCAAATCATTTTTTTAAATTATGGAAAGTAAACAATATAATTGTTGAAATTCAAAAGCAAATTGTAAAATATTAATTGATTCTTTCACAATTTTTGATCAATTTAAAGGTATTTTTCAAAATTTTGATTTAGTTTTTAATTTCTGATACTGCTAACACAATATTGCAGCTTTTCTATTGAGGAATATTACACCATATGCGAATTAATGAAGAAAAATTTATGATTTCTTTATTAAATCCATTTCAAAGGGTAATACAGTTAATCTAAAATTAATATTAAAAAAAAAAGAAAAATTTAAAATTAATAAAAAAAAATATAAAATCAGTATAGCAAACTATCTTTTGAAACATTTACATTTCTCTTGATAGTGCGTCAGAAAAGAATTAATTTTTTTTTTAAAAAAAAGAAAATTAATAATATAAAAAAAAAATAAACAAGTTATTTTAGAATTTCGATTTTCTTTTATTTTCATTAAATACCAATAGTGTCCAATGATGTGTCCAATAATGATAATGAATTTTGATATATTTTAATAGAAAATTATTACTAAATGTTAAAGAACAACAAAATTTCTAATCTGAAAATATGAAATACCATAAGTTTCAGATTAGTAATTAGAAAAGTTTCTTTTAAATAATTGATTGGTAACCGCTTTACATTATTAATTTAATTAAACATTTTTAAAAAAAAAATAATAAGAGTTTCAATAGTTTTAATAGTTTTCATCGTTCAAATAAATTTACTACCTTTGAATTTGAAAAAAATTGAACAAAAAAGATATTTTCAATTTTGTTTTAATGATATCGAATTACATTTATTTTTAATTATTTGCAATTTTTAAAATATTTTTAATAAAATTGATATTTCATACAGACAGTAGTTAAAATTCAAGTTGTTCTTCAAACATTTAATTAAAACAAACAAAAACAAAAAAAAATTTTAAAACATTTATTTTAAATAAAATTAAAATAAAAAAAATAATATTTATTGTGATTAATTTAGAACTACATAAAAAAAAAACCATTACTGAATAAATTTAAAATTAATTAAGAATAATGCAAAATATATTTAATGATTTATTTTATATTCACCTGAAGTATTGATCATGCAACGATGATTGCCTTTGGAATTCAGCCGCCTGTAAATACTTTATATATGTAATTTGACAGTTAAAAATTATATGAATATTTAAAGGAAAACCTGTAATTGATCAGCATAAGACATTCTCAATAAAACATCAGAATGTGGCTCCCTCGGTATAAGCATATTCGGTCTCGGATATGGCGGAATATTCGCTATTATATTAACAGATATTGTTAACAAACAAGTAAATAGATTTTTAAAGAAATAGAAAAAGAGAAATTAATTTTTAAATAATTATTACGTATATATGGATATATATGTTTATTATTTTATTTTGTAATTATACATTAATTTTTATTGCTATATTGCTCATTCTAATTAATAAATAATTGAAATTTATATTGTTGGTTCATTTTTTAAACTGAAACAAAATATTTTTAAATTTATATTTGTTTGTAATTATTCAATTTCAAAAATAAATAGAACATTTTAATAAATAAACAATATAGCAATAATTTTTGTTTAACAAAGGTAAAATGAAAAAGAAAGTGCAGAAATCATCAATACAGAATTTTATTGTTTGAAAAATTAAAATTGAGAAAAACTTATGATAAACAGAAATTTTTATAAATACAAACTTAGCAATACAAAACCCAATTATGAATTTCTTTAAAATTAAAATATATAAAAATATTTTTTTATATTTTTGTTTTTTAACTTTAGGTTTTGAATTTCTAAAAAAGTAATATTTTAATACAAACTCACGTGGTAGCTGAAATCCGGCTTCCGGTGGTTGCTGTGAAGGCAAATGTAAATGAGTGTGAGAATGTGCATGAAATTCTCCAGCAGTAGTCAATCGTATCTGTAATTAATAATTACAAAACAAGGCGCATAACAAGGCACGATTCGAAAAATGAACAATTTTGTTTTTCACCGAATTTTCATACAAACACACACAAAAAAAAAATTAATAAATTTTATTAAATATTTATCTTAATTGTTAGAAAAAATAACACAGACACAAAGTATTAAAGATGCGCAAATATGAGTTTTTTTAGTTTTATGGTTTTATTAGAATTGAGAACAATAATAATTAAATTTTTCCCGAAAATGAGTTAAGCGTCAATGAAAAAAAAAAACCATTTATAAAAATTTAAATGTTAACCAATTAAAATTAAAGATAACAAAAAAAAGGCGAAGCGATTTAATTTTTTTTTTTGTAAATCATATACATATACATAAATATATGTACATATTTTCCTTAATATTAATATTTGTTATTGTTTATATGCAATTTCTCAAATACGATTGATAATTGATGGAGGTGTTAGTTAACCACTACAATATTTTTATTTATATATTTGTATAGTAATAATAATAATATATTTCACAAAAAAAATGTAATTTTTAATATATTCAAACTTACCATTGGATCACCGGGGTCCATTAAATGTGGTGGAATACCCAAACGTTCACGCTCTAATTGCGATAAAGCGGCTGGATTTGGATACAATGGAAATTGTGATGGATGTATGCCCCTAAAAATATTATAAATATTTATTAAAATTAAATATAATAAAATTATTTAATTCGTGATCAAATTAGTTCAGTAATTAACTGATTAATAATTACATTAATTTGAAAATAATTGTGTTACAACGGCGGCAGTAATAAATTATGTCAATTTTTAAACAATACAGAAAGTTATTAGTAAATATAAATTTAAAATTTTCATTTATATATACAGAAAATTTGTTACAATTTACTTTTTATAGAATTAACGATTAATTTACTTTAATTTACCTCATAAATTATAAATAACAAACCTCATTCGATAATATTCCATCCAATGGGGATCTAAACGAGACTGTCCCACGGCTGCTGCTGCTTGTGCATTCTTTAATTCTTCAAGCTCCCTTTAATTTTAAAATAAAGATTTATTTAAGTATTATATATATGTAAATTGAACATATACTACACAATATTTATATATATTATAGAAACATTTATTAATTTATGAAATATTAATAAGCGATGAGTTTTTAGACATTTACGTATGAAAATAAAAAAGAATAGGAAAAAATTAAAATAAAAATTAAATAAGAATAAAAAATTTATTTTACTTGCTTTAATAAAGTGTTTTCATTTATCTTTTAAAAGACTGTTTTTATGATTTTCAATTAAATAAACAACGTTTTTAAGAGGCAAGTTTTAACAAATTGGCTTTGATGATATTTAGGAATTACATGCATATAAGGCAGATTTATGTTTTTTTCGTTTTTTGTTTTATATTTTTGGAATATAAATAAAAAAATGAAATGCGAGGTAAAAAAAAATAATTAAATAATAATATATAAAAAGATATAAACTATACCTCTCTCTATTATACATCGGCCCCATTGGGTGATGATAAGGTGCTACCATCGATTCAACAGGGCTGAAATTGTTTCAAAATATTTGTAATTTTTAATTAATTTAAAATGATGATCATTTTTAGACAATTAAGTCAAAAAACTTTTCCAAATAAAATGTGGAAATCTTCTTATGTTTATTTTTTATATATAAAGTGAATTTGGTGACAAAAATATTTTGCAAAATAATCAATTAGAAAATTTTTGTTATAATCGGATATTTGTGTAAAAAAATTTTGAATAAATAAATTAATAAAACAAAATATTGAACTAAAACAAATAATAATATTTAATAAAATTAACTAGAAATGCCAATCAAAAGACAATTTTAAATTAACACATTTTTTCATGAAAATATTTTAGCCACATTTAAATTTAATGATTGAATTCTAAATGTACCATTGAGTAAAAAATTTGTATGAAAAATAACAGTCAAAATTCAGTTAAATAGTATCCGAATATTTCTAAATTGCAATCAGGTTTGCCATATATTACTAAACAATAATTTAAAAGAACCATTTAAAATATTGAATATCATTAAGTTTGAAAAAATTATTTAACATTTAATATTAAACATAAAAACTTCTGTAATAAATTATAATTATTTACTCAGCGTACTTTTTGGAATTCGAATTCATGTTTTTATTTCTAAAGTTTATTTTATTTTTTGAAATAAAATATAGATTTAAAATAGATATACACATTGCATCACATAATGAATTCTAGTCTGAATATTAAAATTTTCGTATGAAATTCTACTGGTTTAGTTATTGATCTTTGTAGTATTATTTTTAAATCTATATTTTAATTCTGTTTTGTATAAATATTAACACAAAATTTTTTCTTGCTTAAATATTTTTCTCCCCTTAGTTTTCAGTAAATATGTATGTACATATTACTTTGATTGAAAAATATTAATTTACCTAAACGCCACATGGGGTCTGGCATATTCAGATAATTGCCTTAATGCCGGTGTATCGGTATATGGAGGTTTTATTTCAGCTTTCATTTTAGCTTGTTGCGCTGCCTGTTGCGCTTGTGCTTGTTGTTGCAATTGTTGCTGTTGTTGTTGCTGTTATAAAGAAAATTCAATTTAAATGCAAAAAGGATTGAATTAATTTTTTTTATAAGAACCTGTCGTCTTTCTCTTTCTTTTTCAGCTAATTTACGATCTCTTTCTTCTCTTTTGCGAGCTAATTTAGAATCGGCAACTGGTTTGAAAATTAAATCAGTTCTTGTACAAGAATTGTAATCACCCCGATCAATATGTCGTACAAATCTAGAATATTAATATAATTAGAACAAAAATGTTAAAAGTCTTATATATCTGATATACATTGCAGATTGAGAACGATGGCATTCTGTGTCATCTGGTTTAGCCTCTGGACTAGGTCCTCGTGGTATATTGTGCGTCGGACTTGGTATTTCAGGTTCTGGATCTGGTTCAATTTCAATAGGCACTAAAAAATTAAAGTTATTGGTTATATTAATATTCAAATTATATTAATACTAGAATATTAATATCTAAATTAAGTAGAGAGAATATAAATATCTTTGCTTACATGGTTCTGATGGATGGTGACTTGATAAACTAGCCGATGTTGCATGTGCTCTTAAAGCTTCCATATGACTAGTAAGCGGTTTACTGGACAAACTATCTTGAAAAACAGGATGATGTGGTGAGGGATATGGATGTGGTTGATACGGAGATGGACCAGCAGTTGGTGTTGAACTATTACTACCACTACCTGCACCTTGTGGAGTTTTTGGAGTTGGCGGCTTAATTTTGTGTTGTTGTTGTTGATGATGATGCTGCTGTTGCTGTTGTTGCTGCTGCTGCTGTTGCTGTTGTTGTTGTTGTTGCTGCTGCTGTTGTTGTTGCTGTTGCTGCTGTTGTTGCTGTTGCTGCTGTTGTTGTTGCTGCTGTTGCTGTTGCTGCTGCTGTTGTTGTTGATGTTGTTGATGTTGGGCCGCTGCAACAGCGGCAGCTTGAGCATGCGCATTTTCTGCTCGAATTTTATCTGCTTGCGCGGCAGCTGCAGCTACTACAGCTGCTTCTTCTCTACCAACGGCAGCTGCAGCCAACGCTTGATGATGTTGCATTACCGCTGGATCTAGAGGACCTCCCGCCTGAGGTGGCTTCATATAAGCAGCTGCAAAACCGGCTGCAGGTCCATAAGGATGATATGGGTATGGAGAATTAAAAGGGTTATGATGATGGGGATATAACATTGATGGATGAAATAAATGATGTGGGTAAGGACTTTGCGGGTGAACACCCATTGGAGGAATCCCAGGAGCGGGACCTGGTCCAATTAATGGTAAAGGTAGAGGTATTTGTGGGTGGCGAATAACAGGTGGAGAGGCACCAGGTCTCAGATGGTGTGGCGGTGGCGAAGTTCCAGAAGCTATAGCTAAATGTATTTACATTTATAAATTGTTTTTCATTTTGACTAGTTTAAATTAATATTTGAAAGTAAAAATAAAATACAAACCTCTTTGACTTTGAGAAGATGATGATTGTGAAGGTGGAGCACCATATAATTTGTTTAACGGACTTGGCATCATTGATGAAGGTGTTGAAACCGGTGGTGGTGTCATATGTGGAGATTGTTGACGAAGTAAAGCCTGTCGATCCCTTTCGGCTACAGCAGCGGCTGCTGCAGATAAAGCCGTAGCAGATGGATGATGCCCCAAAGGACTTTGCGGCACAGGATGTAAAGGACTTACACGACTCATACTATTATTACTACCAGAAGACGAGTTTTGCGCCGAAGGCGATTGCGTTCTTTGGCTTGCAATTGATGATGGTATTGGTCCTGATAAACTTCCCGAGCTATTTTGAACACTAGGGCTAGCACGACTAAAGGCTGATGAGGGTATAGAGTTATTAGATTGGGGCGCTGATGACGAAGATGATGATGAAGGAGGAGGCAACGGAGATCTTCTGCCCGCGGAAGATTCGTTATTACTGCTAATATTACTGGAACCACTGGAGTTATTACCAATTGTATTAATAAGCGGTAAGGGCCCACTTCCAATTTGCATCGAAGGAGGTAATAAGTGAGCTGGATGACTTGCGTGGGGTGGTATACCACTCATTGTATGTGGTAATAAATGTGCTGGATGAGCTGGGTGCGAAAGTGGTATTCCAACACCAACTGGTCCTCCTGGGTGGCCCAACAACGCAGCTGAATGTGGTGGCGGACCTAATCCTGTTAAAGGAGAAGATCTATGTGCATGTGACATTAATGGAGTATTTGAAGGCTGAATTGATCCTGCAGTTGTGTTCGGAACAGAATGTGGCTGAGGATGTTGTGATTGGACAATATCTCTGGAATCGCGCATTGAACTTTGATTTCCTGACATATTTTCGGATCCGGATCTTTGTGGTGGTCCTTGTGCAGGTGACGGAGACCGATTTTGGACTGATGCCACCTGATGACTATTCATTGAAGCAGAGTGACTTAATGGCAAATTCGAATGCGATCCCGGACCTCCCGAGCTTAAAGTCAAACCGGGATGGTGTAAAATTGAATTAGACGACAGCCCAACTGGCATTTCTGGATGTGGTTTGTGCAATGTAGGAATTTGACTACTTGATAATCCATGTGGTCCTCCTAATTGTGAATGTAACCCTGAAGAAGCTACTGAAGACATTGTTGGGGGAGGCAAAAGCATTGATCCTGCCGATGTTTGCGTCATTGAATTCGGGGTAGAAACCGGTGACGGATTTGCAGAAGACACCATTGAGTGATGTGAGGGAAGAGAATTAGGTGGTAAACCTGGGTGGCTGCTAATTAAGTGTTGCATTCCTGGATGATTTGCGTTGCTAACATTAGGCAACAACGGTGAAGGATGTTGAGAGCTTGGGAATTGCGAATTACTACTACTTCCCTGACTATCCTGATTTGGTGTTGTTCTTGCTGAAGAAGAAGCGTCTAAAGGACTTTCAGAAGGAGGATACTTGCTGTTTGGTGGAGGCTCCCCACTATTACCTGAATTTGGAGGATTTCCATAAGGCGAATTTTTTATTAAATTTTCGCCAGGATACGATTTAAATGACTGTTCGTTGGATTGCGAAGTTGGCGGTCCAGGTGGAAGCGGCGGGGGATATTTTAAATCTTGTGGTTGATGTTGACCAGGTCCCATGGGAGGAATTCCATATTTTGTCATAGGATCTCCATATTTAACCATTATACTTGAATCGTAAGGTGATCTTGCTAATGGATGATTAGGTCCAATATTTTGACTTTCAACATGTGAGATTGGCGTACTTTGAGAATAATGATTTTTTCCAATCAATGCATTATTGGGATCAGACATAAATTTATGAGCGTCCGGGCCAGATATTAAAGTTGGCGGCATATTATGCGGGTATTTTAAACTTTGAACTTGAGCGTCACTAATGTGCCCACCAGCTATAGAAATGGGTGGATATTTTCCAGCAGCGAGTTCATTATGATATGCTTTAATATCAGGAATTTTTATTGGATCTGAATATCCCTTGCTTGTTGGAGGCTCGTTCGAATATTTCCCTGTGTCGATATTGTATTTTACATCAAATTTAGCACCAGCCGAAATATCTGCTGATGATATTGGAGGATATTTCAAAGATTCCATTGAATGTGGCAACTGATATTTTATATCTTGCGATTGAGTACTATACTTCATTTGATGATTTCCATCTTGTTGTAACTTAATTTGTTCGCTGAATTTTATGTCTGCTTCACTATTTGGATATTTCACTTCACTACCTAATTTTTGACATTCGAAGTTGGTGTTCTCAATTTTTGGTTGAGCTTCCACAGTTGAAGCTTGGTTAATATTCGAAGAAAGAGGTACACTATTATCAATGGCTGTGATCGATTGTTGCTGATTTTGTGTTTGAGATCCTATTGGAAGCTGCAAAGGATTAATATTTGGTTTGGTATCCTCTTGTTTAATTTCCATTTTTACTTTTAAATCTTGAGGTTCATTACTATTTTGGTTACATGATGCATCTAAAGGTGCATCATCGTTTGGTTCCTTTTTAATATAAACATTCGTTGTGCTTATATTTATATTAGAATCACCCGAAGAAGGTGTGTTCAAAGAAGGTGCAGTTGATGTAGAAGCACCTGAAACTGTTGTCAGTTGTGGTATATTTTCTTGTTTTATATTGGCAATTTTTGCTAATATTTCTTGTTGTTGTACATCCTTAGAAACAAAATTATTTGTATTTGAACCTTCTTCAATATTTTCTTTTGTTACATTTGTTTTACTAATTGCGGTTGTACTATTTTCAGTTACTGTTGTGTTTTGAGCTGGCATTTGTTCAGTACCTTTTTGTTCTATAGGTTTCGTACTGGGTTGTCTTACACTAAGAGGATGATTTGCATCTTCTTCATGTGTATTAAGTGTATTAGATATGGGATTTTCTGTATTAGAAGTAACTCCTTTATCCGGATTTGAATTTGCATTTTCATTAACAGCACTGTTGACAGTAGTTCCAACTGTATTTTTATCTTCGTTGCTAATACTATTATTGCTATTTTCTTTCAAATTACTAACTAAAGGTGCTTGATCAGGTGCATCATTTGTATTTTCACCTTCGTCAATAACAGAGTCTGGTCTGCTGTCCGAATTCAAACTTTCCGTTGGGCTCTGTTGTACAAAAATCGAAATGAAAAAAAGAAAAACAAAAAAAAAGGAGAATTATAGTAACAAAAATTAATTTCCTAACAGATTAAATGTAAAATTTACATCTGCTCGTTTGCGTTTATCTTTATCATCTGTTACCTCAGCGCCATCAATGTCGGATCGTTTCTTTTTGCTTGGTGTATCGGATTTTCCAGTACCCTGTTTTCTTTTGTTGTCATTTTTTGTTGGTGTTTTTGGATTATCGCCTTCTGGAGTTTCAGTACCTCGTTTTGGTCTCTTACCATTGGCCACTTGTTCCTTTGTTCCTTGTTTGTTCCTTGTCCTCATTCTTGATGGCGATTCATCCCCTACAACATTAATTTTTACAATTTTAAATTAAATCATTTTAGTACAATTTTAAAAATCATATTAGTATAATTTTAAAAATCATATTTATACATATATATATTTTAAATTGATATTTATTACTTTTGGTAAGACTTGAATCACTATCACATTCGCTAGCTTCGTCTTCAGTTAACGAACTGTTCTCTTCTTTGGATATCGGTGAAGGTTTTGATTCTGTTTGGGCTTCAATTGTGTCTTCTTCTTTCTTTGGAGGTGTATTACTAGAACGTGTCACAGCACGATTACGACGTAAAGAGCCTTGTCGTCGGCGTCTATGCGGACGATTATTATTAGCTCCGGGAGTTTTCTTCCACAAATAATAAAATTCAACTAATTCTGGTGTTTCTTTATGCGGTAATAAATCTTTATGTATTCTAAAAAAATTCTTTCCAAATTGACGTAAACCTTTTATAAATTTTTTTGTTTCATCTTCTGTCCACTTTTTATCAATTCCTTTTGCTACTGGGCATTTAACTAAAGTTTGCAAAGCTTTACCGGGATCATAACCGGAATCATGTAACTGCAATAAAAAAATTATGTGTACATAATATATTTTACGTACAAAAACATATTAACTTTTTTTCATTTATACTTACAACATCAAGGGCGTTTATAGTAGTATCGTCACGACTTGCGGCTAAACAACCATCTTCAAGTCCTCCATCACACATTCCTATACAATTCATGATATATTGAGTGGCACAAAAGATTTTTAATAAAATTCAAAACCAAATTTAAATTTTTGTTTACCTTGAAATGCTGCCATAGATCTCGCTGCTCTTAAATACATTAACAGATCCCCATCTAAAACAATACCAGGACTCCATCGAGATACTTCCAATTCTCTTTCAGATTCTTTGTCAACAGGAAAACTTGAAATTGGATTATAATCGGGCAGTTTTGCCTGATTTGTTATTAAATATCCATAAAATTAAATGCAAAATTTGTTAATATTGTTTTTTTTTTTATTATTTTTATTATAATATTCATTGTAATTTGGTTATAAAGAGAAGTAAAATTTATTTTAAATTTTTCTACAAAAAAAACATTTGAACTCATATTTTTTGGATTTCAAAAAAAGTTCATTTGAACAATTAATACAAACATTTTTTATAGTAAATAACTTAGAAATATGATCACTAAGTATTTTAATACTATTAAACTAAAATTTTTTAAACACAATACTTATCTATTTATAATATTCATGTAAAGTATTGAAAAATACTTAACAAAAAATCATTTAATACGAGTTCAAATGTCATTTTAGGTGGACATAAAAACTACTAAATTGAACTTAATTCTAAATGAATGATAAATGAGTGTAAAAAATTTGTTTTATACTAGTTTTTAGGTGAATCATGCATTTTGATATAAATAATAATATAAACAGTAATGATATAAAAAATATATTTAAAACATTTATACATTAAATTTAAAATAAATGAAATAAAATAATAAATAAAATCAGATTTAATAAAAAATTAAATGACTACAAATATGAATTTTATTGAGTTTCCTTGAATATTGCAACATGAATTCTAAAATTCATATTAGTTATGAATTATCTTCAATTTACTATATTTTAAAAGGACCAAATATACTGACATTAAACTCATGATCTGATTTGTAATTATTTTCGATTTATTTTATTGTATATTCGTGAACGGGGAGGGCATTTAATAAAAATTTATGAATACACAAATTCTAGTAATTTTGCGCATATTAATTTTAATCAAATTGAAATAACAAAATAATAAATTGCAAAGTATGTCAATTTGAAAATTTATATTTTTTCAAAAGTATCATTTGAAGACTAAGTCATAATAGTAGTATTCATTAAGTAGTAGTCACAATCAAACAGCTCCGTATAACTAGAAAATTTCAATTTCAAGAGTTTTGGATTTTTCATCTTTTTGAACATTTTGAAATTCTTTTTCGTCCTCGAATAGTATCCCATTCAAATATTATATTTTCGGGATCTATTATTATTTTGAACATCTTATTTATAATGGGCAATATTCAAATTTCCAATAGCTAAAAATATCATATTTTAAAGCGTTATTTCAAAATAATAAACCTAAAAAAGAAAAAAAAAATACTAAAAATGAAAATTACTTAAAAGAACATTTATATTATTAATATACTTTGTTATATTTTGTGGAAAAGCAATTTTACAGCTTAAATATATTTATGTATTACAAATATATTTGAAAATAAATAAAAATTAAAAATTAATAAGTATATGAATAATGAACATAAATAAATAAATGCATGATTCATCCTAATTTGTCTTTTTTTTTTTATTTTCAATTTTCAAAATTCATTTTATCAAAATAACAAATAATATACTTCGAATTGTGATGCCAATTAACAATCAACAATTATTTAAGAGTTAAAAAAAATTCTGCAATCTATTTCAAAGAATTAAATATAAAACATAATATATTTATTATTATTGTATATTTTGCATTATTATAATTTATTTTTTGAAATTTTCACATAATGTTATATATAAAAACATTACTAAAATATTTTTAATTTTGTAAAAACAAAAGGAAAATTACATATTTTTTTTTAAATTGAAATTGAATATTGGTCTTGTTCTAAAAAGATTTTTAATTCAATTACAATTATTCATTGATCACAATGTTTTCCATTTTACATAATTTAAGTAGATTATTTAAAATATTAGAAAGAGAGTGATTAATTTAAAATTGAAATCTATTAAGTATAATGAAATATACAGAAAAAAATTAAGTTAATTAAACAAAAATAATTTTATTTTATGGATTTTCATATTTTTATCTTGTTTAAATTATTTCTAGAAATGAAAAATTACCACATAAATCAAGATAATTAAAATAAATTCAGTTTCATTTTATATTTTTCGAGTATTTTAATTATTATTCTATCATAATCTTGAAATAACTTTTCGAAAATAAAGTATTTTTAATGAATAAATATTTGTAATTTAAATAAAATAATTGTTTCAATAAGATTAGAAGAGTTTAAAACTCGAAACTTTTTAATTTTCTTGCTATAATTAAATTGAAATTTGATCTAGAAAATAATCCAAGCATTTTATTAGTCTTGAATTTAATTTCGATTCAAAATGATTTCTTCATTTTCTCGAATAGATATGTTAATTTGATGGTTGTCAATGGGCCTTCCTTGTTGGCCTATTGTATAGGTTGGTACTTTTATAAACAGTAGAAAATTAGTACTACAAAAATATGTAAAAATCTTAGAAATAAATAATCTATAGCAGGAAATGACAATTTGAAAATTTATTGTAATGAGCATAATATTCCATTTTCCCCGAAAAATTTTCGTTTTTTGCACAATTTACTCGCAATCGACAACGATTTTGCAGAATGTCATTTCAATGATGCATCAGTTCAATAAGTATTATATTTCGGATTATTAAAAAAAAACCCAAAAAATTTAATTTTCCGCTCGAAAGCCACCTGAGATTAGGATCTGAACTGACCCTTTATTATAGTTTTTGTAAAATTCTGAATTTGTTAACTAACTTTTGTAACAAGATAAAAATAAAATGACAATATTGGAAAATTAATAATTAAAAAAAATTTAAATATTTTGAAAACATTTTACATATATGTTTTATAAAAGGTGTGTGATTGCAGAGTTTTAAAAATATATATTTTTTTTTTATTTATATTTGCAATCCAACATAAATAAATATATATATATGTATAATATATAATAAAAGCATTTATATAAAAATAGTAAAAGTCTATTATGTTTTGTAAATATATATATATATATGTATATATCACCGTATTCACTTATTTTTCTCATCGATAGATTGAGATAATTTTGAATTTTTTTTTTTTTTTAATTGAAACAAAATTTTGACTGTATAATTTGTTACCGTGATTTGTGAATTACGTACATAGACATCGTTTACCTGGTGGCCGGGACCCACTCTTATTTCTCCTTGAGTGGAGGCCGCCATTACCCTTTAAGAACACAATAAATCCAGTTTACAACTGTTCTCTGTGTATCACTGTTGAAAAATAGCATTCCTGAAAAATTAAGAGAGCAAAATTAAAATAAAATTATTTTATAATCATTCTATAAACATTTTATTGAAATATTATTTTAAATCATTGTAATTCACTTTAAAAATGGAAGCGAGAGGTCTTAAAAATAAAAAATATTTTTTTTTTCTCAACAGGTTCAATTAATCACTTAAATATTATAGGGTAATGAAAATATTTTTCTTATCTCAAGTGATAATCAATTTTAAAATAATATAAAAAAATTGCTTGTTTTAAAAAAAAATTAATTGTAAAATTAAGTGTTATAATCTATTATTAATAATGTTTATAAGTAAGGCATACGTTATATTATCTTTATATATATACCGAGTTTTCATTACTTATTATTTTTTTTTTTATCTTGAAGTTGTCATCTTGATTTGAAAATTGTAAAAGTTTACTTTGAAATAAGGAAAAATTTTCAATTGTTTGTGTAAGTTACTTAGTGATAAGTTTTAAGTATAAAAATCTTAAAAGATTGAACATGAAATCTAATATCGGATAATTCCGAAAGTCGTACTTAACGAGATATTTAACGAAACAAAATATCGTAATAGTACCATAATCAATAATTTTAGCCAAATCTAATAACTCTTAAGAAATAGATTTAGATGTTCGAGAAATTTTAATTTGTAAGTAGATAATGTTATAATTGATTTTAGAAAAGGTAATTAGAATACGAAACTTTCGTTACCGTACAAATGTAAATTTGTGTAAAACTCTAATTATTAAATCTGATTATATTATCAAGTATTTAAAATCATAAATGACACTGAAAAGATCCTTAAGGATAAGTCACACCACTTTCTGTATCAAATACCTTGTGAATTTATATTCTGTTTCATAATTCAAGCAAAACTCATAATTTAATGTTATCAGTATGTAAGTTGCATTTGGAGTTCATGAATTGTAAATTGCATTTGGAATCTATAAATTTTGAGCATTTTATTTAAAGAAACATGAGTAATTTTTTAAGATAGTCGTATTTTTTACCATATGGACCATTTATTTGAGATAATTAATTCTAATTTTAATTACTAAATATTAAAATACAGATACCTAGAACTGTACAGATACAGAACTGTACCAAATACAGTTCTTTGAAGCATTTGACAAAATAATGATATTTGCCCCGCCGCAGAACTCTATCTGACTACGTGAATACTTAATATGAACATAAATTTACAAAGAATAAAACCTTAAAAAAAAAACGAAAACTATGAAATATTGAGATGCGCCTCTTTATGTTTTAAACACCTATATAATTCCATAAGCGTATGTATAACGTACTAGCTGGAGTACAAAAACCCAAAAATCATAATACAAAGGAAACATAAAAAAAAGAGCTAAGTAAAAAAAAATGTGTTGCATCTGTCAAATATCATTTTTAAAATTTACAATTAAAATTTGTAATTCGAAACGTTGGTAAGACAAAATAGACACACATATATGTACCAGTCTACTCATATATATAACTACCTACTTAATTATCTTAGTAAATACTTATATTTTAGCAAACATTTTGAAATTTTTACCTTTTAAGAATTTATGTACCTATGTAAGTAGGTACACGTAAATAATATGTAATAAAATTTATGTTTTTATTAACAGCAAAGGATATTTTCCATTGTTATTATGATTTTAAGTCTATATAACAATAAAATTATATTGTTAGTTGTAAAAAAGAAAAATGTGCTAAAGGAAAAAAAAATATTATTAAAATTATTGTGGCAGGTATTTTAACATTCATTTTCAACATCAATTGATATTAAGTAACGCCTAAATACTTTTAATAATTAGTTTTAGGTTTACTATTTTATGATATTGTTTTAGGAAATTGAGAAGGTGCGTATTAGGGTTTTTACGTTTATAACTACTTTAAGGTAATTAAACACTAAACAAGTAGGTAACCGAAGCAAGCATATTATATGATTGTTAATTTGCAATTCTTTCGATATTTTTGCATAAGATGTAGAAATTGTATTTTGAAAAACATTTGATACTAAACTGATTTTTAGTACTTAGATAGTAAAGATTTTAGTGAAGAATTTAAGTAAATCGGCAATAAGTAGGGGAAGAGTAAAATATTTAAAAGACTTAAGTCAGAATTTGTTTTACTTCACTTTTAGGAGGGCAACCTTTAATAATAATATGGTTATTTCATTTAATTTCGATACATCAAATTTTATGATATTGAAAATATACTTTTAAATTAAAATTTTATGAGGAAGTTACGCTATATTGACTGTACTTCTAGGACATAAAGATTAATTTCAAAATTACCGTAATACGGTATTAATACACAATTCAGCTTATGAATTGCAATTGCTGAATTGGGTAACAAGACAGTTTTATTGCATTTCTGAAGTCAAGGTTTATTCTAACTTACTGAAATTACATTTATTACAGGTTTTGAACGTAAAACTCTTAGATTGAAATCACAATATTAATTTTAAATAAAAGAGCTGTTTATGATGAAAAATATTTTATAATTAATAACTTTAATTATAATATTTAGAGCCCCCCAAAAATATTGCAATCATCTTTTGACTATCATCTTTTGTTGCTGATTCAAAAAAGAAGTGATGTTTTCTTTTATGAAAAAATTAAACAGAAACTAGAATAGAAAAAAAAAAATAAGCAGCAAAAAAAAAACAGCACAATATTAAAATTTATCTCTTTTACCTACTTTTCAAATGCAAATCCATTTAATCCTACGCCATCACTTTATGTAGAGATTGTGACAAAGAAAAAATCAGAAAAAAGAAGCAAAGTACGAAAAAAAAAATGATTATTTAACAAGGATATAAAAGATAAGCGCTTGCGACTTCAGACTACCACAAGTGTTTCCCCCTTTTTTATTTTTATTTTCTTATTCTGACGTTTTTTTTTTTTTTGCCTTTTTGCTTTTTCTCTTCATTCAATTAAATTTAACTGATCCTTTTTGTGATTTGAGAAAAATTAACACGATTTTTTTTTTTTTTTTTAATTTTGTATGCACCAAGAGAGTCAAAGTAAATAAAGGAAGAAAAAGGACTCCATTTTTTTTGCACTAATTAGTCAAGTGCCAAGCAAAGCGGAAATCTAATAAAAATTGATTTTTTTTTTCTCTAGTACTTTGATGGTAGAGGGAACCCTAATTACAAAGAAAAAAAAAATTATGTACTAAGAAACTAAATAGGACGAACAAATTAAATTTAAAAATATTTTAAAATTCAATTTCGATTACAATTAAATTTTTTCTTTTTAATTTCTTACCACTGTTTTATATTCCGGATTGAAAAGAAAAATTTTGTAAATTAAAGAAAAATGAAAAAAAAAAAGTCAAACAAAATTTGTTTCTTTTAATGCTTTATGTTTTTTTTTTCTTTTTTTCTTTTCTTTTCTTTTGACAAATTTCTAATGCATTTAAATAGGCAGGAAAAACCACTCAAAAAAAAAAAAATTATAAAATCACAAAAAACACCATAATAAAAATAAATCAGCAGAAAAAAAAATCAGAAATCTCTTCAAACACAATACAAAAGAAGAATCACGACAATTTGAGTTTTTTATTATTTTCTTTTATAAAATTCACTAAATTCTTATTAAATTTTAAGTATATTTTATGTTTTTTATATTCTTTAATATCTAATGTATATAATTAATATAATTTTAATCACTTTAATGTCCAAAATTTTTATTAAATATTTTAAAAAAATTTTTTTCACATCAGAAGCAAAAAGATTGTATTACACACATAAGACCACCATTTTACTTTTTTAACAAAAAAAGATATTTAAAATATAGTTGACTCATTCTATAAAACATTTATTTTCATATTAAAAGCTATTGTTTTGTCTCCTTTTCACTCGCACATTGAAATGCAAGACAATGCGTCACTGTTTAAACTGTAAATAATTAACGAAGAAGAAAAAAATTTTTTTTTTTTTGGTTTTAATGACGGGTGGTTTTTATTTCTTTTTTTTTTACTTTTTCAATATTTTTTTTTTTGAAAGTTGACTATTCACATTTACTATTTTTGTCTTCTGGATATAAAATTATTTTGAAATTTTAAAATTTTAAATATTTTATGTAATTTGGCGCTGTAATTTATTTTAGTCCAATATTAATAAGAAAAATGAAGATTTTAGTTTAGGAATTATGATTCAGCTTATTTAGTTCACAATTTGAAATAATATATTAAGCATATATTTCAATATTGCAGAATTATGAGAAATAAATGTCACATAAGTTATCACTTAACCGAAAATGTCAAATATGCAAAAAATGTTCATTATTTTTTAATTATTTCAGTTAATAATTAATTAATAATAAAAATAATTCAGAATAATAATAATTCAAAAGATAATTTTTTTACATTGTTGATTCTATAAAATGGAAAATAAAAAACACATTTTCTTATATATAATTATAATTCAATAGTTTCAGCAATTTTAATATTATATCACTTGAATTTAGAAATAAATCTAAGTATAAATTGTTTGTATAAAATTATTATGTACATAATATTGTACCTTAAATTTTGAATAACATTTCATGGTAACAATGTTTTAAATTGTTTATATAATCTATAATAAAGTTGAAAACATATTCAAATTTTTATGTTAAATATGAATTCAAGTCTTTCTTATAAATAAAAAATATTTCACTATATTAAGTATTATTCTTTAAAAATAAAAAAAATTCACTTTAAAAGCCCTCTTAATATATAAATATTTTTCAGACTTTTCATTCAAGATTTGTAAATTAAAAGATTAAATATGGTATTTACTTAATAATTATAATTTTTTTAATATATACTTAATAATTTAAATAACAAATAATTTTTGCTTATGGCTTGAAATTTATTTTTCAAATAAAAAATTGATATTGTGAATTAAATTTAAAGTTATAAAAAAATTTTTACGCCTCATTGTGAATAATTTTTTTTTTAAATTCTATAAATTGAAAAAAAATATTCACATAATATTCGTTAAATTTTAAAGTACTTCTATTTTAATATAGATGTCATCTCTATGTGTCCAATTTTTTCCCTAAAATGGCAATATTTATTTTAATTTCTATATTTTGACATCTTAAAAAAAACATAATAATGTTCCGCAATTTTTGTTTTTGTTTTTCTTTTAGTTTATTATTTCATATTGTTTTTGTTTATGTGTGCGTGTGAGTGATTCTTTCAAAACAAGAAAGGCAATAAAAGAACTACAAGTATAAAATCAAAAAATGTGTAGAAAAAAATAATACAAAATAAAAAAGAAACCAAAATACTTATTTGTTTAGAAAAAGAAATCCAAATTTAATATAAAATAAAAATTAAATAAAATTTAATTAAATAAATTGTGTTTTAAAAGAAAAAAATATTAGTGATTGTGTGTGTTTTCATCTTCTATTTTTCAATAGATCAAAAGTTTTTTCTAAATTTTAGCAAAAAAAAATTCTAAGAAGCAAAAAAAAAAATCTTAGCATAAAAAATTTCGCGAAAATCTACTGCTTTTTAGTGTGAATTTATTTTGTAGCCCCTTTTCTAAATATCTAGAATATTATTTAGGTTCTTTATTTTGTTATTTAAGTGAAGCTTTAGGTAAGTTGGTTTTTTTGTAAATTTGAAGTGAAATTTTTCTATGAAAAGAATTTTTAAGGCAAGCCAGCCACATTTTCAATCCAAAAAAGAAGAAAAAAAACCTCATTTTATCCATGCATTTTGACAATTTTGTTTTGATTTTTTTTTCTTGTTGTTTTTGATTTCGAGGAATTATTCACGTTCTTCCCATTTAACATTCATCCCGAGTAGGTACCAACAGAATAAATAATGGCCTTGAAATTTTGACTTACAAAAAAAAAAAGGAAGTGGGATTCACATTCAATTTTGAAGGCCATTTAATTAAAAAAGGAAATACAAAATAATTTAGAATGAAAATGGTCCCTCTTAATCCCTACCTCCTTTTGAATCTTGTTGTTTATTTTTCATATCAATAATGATATTGAAATCTGTATTTTTACTTTTATGATTAAATTGAGGTTAAAAAAATTTATTATAAATTTTTTGAAATATGTCAGACGCTGGTTGAAAATGGTAAAAATTTAAAAAATTTTATAAAAAATATAATTTGAATAAGTAAGCTGGTCAATATTTTTCAATTAAATTTAGGGATATAAGTATAATAAAATTTTAGAGCAATTGGAATTTCATAATATGTGCAGGAAATTAATATGAAGAATTTATTACATTATAATGTAAAGATTATTTAAAATTCAATCTTCATTTGATTCAATTGTAATGAATTAATTTTTGCTGAATCATACTTACATAAATATGTATATAAGTATGTATGTGCTGCTTAATGCAAAAAATAGTGCCGTCAGAGTGGATATACAAAAGAGATTTATAGCAATACAAATTGGCGGCAACAATATTGTAGCTGGAATCAAAGCGACGGGGAAAGAACTAATGGATCCAATTTAAAGGTAAGTTGAAATAATAGTTATTATTATTAATAATTTAACATTTTATTTATAATTACATAATATTTTAGTGTGTTGTCAAATTTATGACAAACAATATGGGCTACTACGTATCTATTTGTTACCCACAGACATGCAATCCATTCTGATTTTAAAAAAAAGCTGCTGTTAATCCTCAAATACTTATTTTAATAAAAATTTCAATTCATATTCTTAATTTATTTCAATTGTGTACTTTAGGATAATTTTTGAACCCTTATGTATATTTAAAATGTAAAAATTTAGATTGCAGCCTTAATATGTGAATTGAATAATATGTGAATTTGATTGTGTAAATTCTGGTAAAATGAAATGAAGAACGAGTTGAACAAGAAAATTTTTGGAAATCATAGTTAATTCACGATATTAGTATTGACGTTATCAAATTCTTTATTTCAAATTTTTTATGATTAAATGTGATAATTGAAGTTCTTACCTATTTTGTCTTATTTTCGAAAAAAATTATGCGATTCATTTCCATTTTTGTAATTATTTTGGGCAACGCCGATTTTTATATATTTCAACTTTTTATGGAGACGACAAGTAAACTCATGCACGAGTTCTATTACAAATGCAATATTTAAGTAGGTTCCTACCTCCTTTAACTAATAAGATCAAAAAACTCCTGAAACGCAATAGAGCATTATAAATTATTTATTTAACAATATTGTTACATCCAAAAAGTGCAATTAAATGCTCTATGAATAAATTCTTCAAAATTTAAAAATTTTTATTTTTCTACAATCTGTTTTTCTATTTTACTACCTATACATTAATTTTCCAAAAACTCAAATTAAAAAAGTTTGCCTCTATATTTTTTACACTTAATATGCAATTTTAATTTATTTTTAACTAAATTACATCCTTTTATGTTTTAGTATCCTGAATCCGGATTCTGATATTTGTTTACTTACCTATGTTTTATTCTTGCATACACATGTGAACATATATTCTATAATTGTTGCTCTGTTAGTATTTTGTTTCACATTTCAATATATCCGGTTTCTATTTCCTCATCTTGATTATTCAGAAAATTATTTCTTATTCATATTTTATGTAAATAAATAAAAAAAACAAAATTTTATTTAAAAAAGATATGAAAATTTTAATATTTTTTTAAATGTTTAAAATGTGAATTAATATTGTGCAATATTATGTTATAAGTAAACATATTTATTTCCTGATTTACATGCACATTTACTTTTACATTATTTATTAGAAATTTCGGTTTTAAGGAAATGAAATTTTTATTTACGGATATTTGATTTATTTTAGATTGAAATTGGTAAAAATTTTTAGATTCTTAGGTGTTAAGTGAAATGAGCCTCAAAGTATTTAAAGTAAAATTTATATTTTGAATGTTGGGAGTAGAAGGAGGAGAATGTCAGAACCAAATCTTAGACTTAATCAGATTTTATTATTTGAATTTTGAATTTAATAATAATTCTTGGCTCTATATAAGGAAATATTCGAGAAATTTATAGGTTTGAGATTGTGTTTTAGAATTTGAAACAAGAACCAATACGGAATTAAGTAAATAACATTCAAAATTTCTTTGAATTTTTATGGATTTCTTAGAGAAAATAACTTTGAATAATCCGAAATTTGAATTTTAATTGGTTTTAATTTTTTTATTTTTATTTTTGCAGACTAGTTCTGGTTCATTCTTAAGATAATCCTTGTATTTAATGCAAAAATTACACTAACCCCAGAAAAAGATAATCACTGATTGTCGGTGACCAAGCACCAGCTTTTTTCATAAGTAAATAATACGATAATTTCAAAGCATTGTTCGATTATTATTAGTCTCTACGGTTAAATTGGAATCTAAATTAAGTCAGGAATACAAAAAAAAATTACTTTACATAAAGGATAGTTAAGACGAAGATTAATTATTAATTAATATTTTATTCAAGTAAAATATTTTAAAACTAGTATTTAAATGCCGCAGCATAGATATTGAAATTAATGAATTAGTTTTTATTCGCGCATTACAAAGTATTCATCCAGAAT